CGCATTATCCTGCCCATGCAATTGTAACCCCTCTGTACAGTATGTTCACAAATAAAATAAAATTAAATTAAAAAAAAACAGTGGAACAGCTATAACCACATTATCTTTCTTTTCTATTTCAATAGCGCTGAATAAATCTGGGAATCAAAAGTTCTGATTCAAATCCCATATCCACAGATCCTTCTTGAATGCACGTCAAGATCGCTGACCCGGTCCTTCCACATGTGTAAGTTGGAGATAATAAAACTCAATGGTAAAAACAATAGGGTAACAAGGGGTGCATCAGACCTGCCACTAGAGGGCAGACACATCAAATAGGAAGATTTAAGAGCCTAGAAAACCAGAAAAGGAGTAGAGAAAACAAAAGGTAAAGAATGCTAGGCTTCTATTCCATTGGTCCTGAGGTCTGTTCTTGTGCCAGTACCAAGCTGTTTTGATTAGGAGGCAACAATGCTTGATAAGAAATGTACTCATTACCTTGCCCGTGTAATTGTAACCCCTCTGTCCAGTATTTTCACAATTTTAAAAAAAATTGCTAGAAAAGCAATTACCCTCATTAAAATTAAATTATTCCATCCAGTTTACCTTCTTAAAAATAAATATTCATATAAATGAACTAGAAAAAAAAGAATGCTAGGTTTCTGGGAATGAAACACAGGAATGTTGTAGAGAGGATGAATCGGGGCTGTTTCATTCCTCCCATCTACCCTAAGACTATGGGGTTATTGCCAAGGGCCATTTTCATGGAACTAAGAGAAAAACACAAGGGTTGTGAGCGTTAAGGGCAAAAGCAGTGTAGAAATGAAAAGGAGGGGTATTACTGCTAAGGAGCCATCAAGTTGGCCACCTCTAAGCACTGTCAAGAAATGAACCATTTGGGGTGGCATTCTACCCACTATTCCTAGATAAGACAGCAAACCATCTCCTTTTCCCCGACATGTCCCCCTATGTACACTATTCCAGAAATTAATACTTCCTAGGAAACCAATCTCCCTTGACAATGTTTGGAAAAGAAAGGAGATTGCATGGGAAGTTTTACATTGTAATATAACATTGAGATGTCACCTTTGACATAAAATATCTATCATTTTGACTGACTTCTGAAATCTTGGGCTAAGGTTGTTTGGAAAAGAGCAGCAGAATGACATGAAACTCTGCTAGTGTAATGGGTATTCCCAAATGTATCAGGGGAAGGGTAAATCCAGCAGAAGCTTTTATTCAAAGAAAGAAACTGTGTCCTTTAGAATGGACAGAAGGAAGGTAACACAAATAAGTACAAAGCTGTGTATAATCAATATATCACCTTCAAATTTTTTAATGTCCAGGAAGTCACTAGTTAATATATTAAAGCCACAGAGTTCTTTGACATTTATAAAGAATTCCATATGCTCCTATGTCATTTAGCATCTTAAGACATGGCAGGTTTTACTTATTATCTTTTTTCAGGACAACTTAAGGGACTTAGCTATATATAGTCAATGAATCCTTGCACAAAGCAAATAATGCTCCTCACTCTTTTTTAACATATTTACTCGAGTTCCTGCAAATGAGGATTTTTTTTTTGAGTTAGACTCTGATGAGACAATCAGGTTGGCCTTGAATTGCAGATCCCCCTGCCTCAGCAGGAATATGCCACCATGCTCAGGCATATCAGTAGTTTTCAAGCTGGACTGCCTCTATTTTTTTTCGGATACTCTTTATTCTAATAAGAAAAATACAAAGAAAGAAACCAAGGAGAATTAAAAGGTTGTCTGAAGAAAAAGAAAAAGAAAACTCTTCTTGGCCAGGTGCCAGTGGTTAATGCCAGTAATCCTAGCTGCTTGAGAGGCTGAGATCTGAGAAGCAAGGTTCAAAGCTAGCCTGGGCAGAAAAGTCTGAATCTTACCTCCTATTAACTAGTAAAAAGCCATTCATGGAGGTGTAGCTCAAATGATAAAGTGCCAGTCTTAAGCCTGGCTTCCATTTTCTACTTTAAAGGTGGAGATCAAAAGAACTTTCACTTTCTCTTCCTATATTAACCTATGTTTGATCTTTATGGAAATTCTGTAGTTACATATCTACAAAGTGAATATTTCAAGGACAGAAGGAGTAGATGAGTGAGGTGCTGGTGGTTCACATCTATAATCCTAGCTACTTAGGAAGCTGAGGTCTGAAGATCTTGATTCAAAGCCAGCCTGGGCAGAAAAGTCTGTGAACTCTCATCTCCAATTAAACAGAAAAATGTCAGAAGTGGAGGTAAGGCTCATGTGGTAGAGTGCCAGCCTCGAGCAAAGAAAACAAGCAATAGAGTTAGGCCCTGAGTTCAAGTCCCAGTACAGCACAAAAAAAAGAGTCAATGACTTTCCACACCCCATTAAACTGGAATATCTCAAAAGAAAGGTGATCTACAAGAAGCAAAATCATTTTTTGGGGGGGGTCCAGTCATGGGGCCACAACTCTGGGCCTGGGCACTGTCCCTCAGCTCTTCAGCTCAAGGCTAGCACTCTACCACTTGAGCCACAGCACCACTTCTGGTTTTTTCTTTTTGCTTATGTGGTGCTGAGGAATCGAACCCAGGGCCTCATGCATGCAAGGCAAGCACTCTATCACTGAGCCACCTTCCCAGCCCCGCAAAATCATTTAAATGCCACTGCATAAATAATGAGCTGTTTGATCATTCATTCAAAAGGCACTGAAATTACCAACAATAGCCCAGACTGTGAATACACTGATAGGAAAATAGATATTTTTTTTACCCAGGAAGCCCAGAGATTAGTGAGGGAGAAAGATACACAGTCAATCTTAAAACAGTAAGAGAAGTATCTTGCTATAGTAAGATACTCTGGAGTTTTGCTACTTGAGCGTTGTGGTTTCTACCCATTGTAATGGGGGACTTGTTAGAAATACAGACTCCATCCATCCCCCTAGTGAATCAGAAAGTCTGAGAGTGGGGTCCAGGACTCTGTGATTTAACAAGCCCTCTAGGGGATTCAAAGTGTCCCCAACTTTGAGAAGTAATGCCATATGATACTCAAGGCAGGGCAAGGAAAGGGAGTGGCATTTGCAGGTATCAAAACATGAGAGAATGGTGGCCATCTGCTGAAAGCAATTTTTGGGCTACATATAGACAAAATAGGCTGTCATTGTAGTGTAGTTGCCTTAATATGGTCCAGACTAAAAGCAAGGACTGGGCTGGGAAGGTGGCTCAGTGGTAGAGTGCTTGCCTTGCATGCATGAGGCCCTGGGTTCGATCCCTCAGCACCACATAAGCAGAAAAAGCCAGAAGTGGGTCTGTGGCTCAAGTGGTAGAGCTCTAACCTTGAGCTGAAGAGCTGAAGGACAGTGCCCAGGCCCTAAGTTCAGGCCCCACAACCGGCAAAATAAAAAAAGCAACGACTATGGTTAATGTAAGGCTTTGAGGGTCTATTAAACAGAGTAAGTTACAGAAAGGTCACTTTAGCAAGGAGAATGAAGCAAGAAAGATGAGAGGTCCAGCAACCAGTTAACAATAGCAACTTGGCCATAGATAACTGTGGTCTACAGCTAACAACGGATAGGAGACGAGTAGAAGAGAAAAAAAAAAAACTCAGATGGCACCTCAGTACATCTTTGTCAGCACCTACGTGCCAGAAACAACCCACTATCAGGCATAATTAATACAACTTCTTAGAATAAGTCACCTAAGAGAGAATGATTTATTGCAAAGAAGGAAGGAACTGGGAAATGGAAATGACTGTTCTATGAAGCCTTAGACATCCAAGTGGCCGGAACAAGG